GACAGGGAGAACGGAGGGACCCTGAGCGGGATGACCTTGTCCCTGCACACGCGTGTGCCGAGGCGTTTCTCCCCCCTTCCCGTAACCCCCATCCGTGGGGGTTCAAGAGCTGCTGCCTCTGCAGCTGCAGGAGTCTGCCCCGGCCAGGACGGCTGGGCTTCCCCGTGCCCCAGTTTCCCTCTGCGAGATCCGGCATGAAGCCCAGGCTTGCAGCGAGGGGCAGGGGGAGGGCAAACGGCCCCGCAGCCCCGCAACGCTGTAGGAGCAGCGAAGACCGAGACCCCTCAGGAAGGGCCGTGAAGTCACCCCCGGCGTCACCAGCTCTGGGCTCAGCAGCCACCCAAAGCAGAGCTCCCGGCTGGCTCCCCGGCCTTCCCAAGAGGAGCATTAACGGGGAGGCCGGCGCAGGGATGCCAAGAAGCTGGAGGGCAATGGGACGGGTTGTGCCGGAGCTGCCACCACCTGCAGCCGTGCCCAGGCATCACCCGGGGCCCGAAAACCCAAAGCGAAGGGACCAGCTGCGTTCTCTAGCAGGCTCAAATTAGTGGCATGAAGATGGGTCATCCCTTGCCACGGCTTTAAAAGCACATGCCAGGCCAGGCAGAACAGCACGTGGTGTCACCGGGAAGCCACCGAGGCCGTGACACGTAGGTCACTGTTCATGCCGCGGGGGGACCAGGGGATGGGGACCTCCCCGGCCGGAGACATCCCGGGCAGCTTCGAGGGGGGCAGCTCGGTCCCTGCCCCATTCCGGGGGCACATCGGTGCCGTGTCCCCCTCCCCATGCTCCGGTGGTGCCGTGTCCCCTCCGCACTCCCCAGGCAGCATTTTGCAGCAGCCGGGGGAGGTGACGGGTGCCATTCCCCAGCTCTGTGTCACCCGCAGTAATAACACCCTGTGCTCCCTTTCATCTCGGGGCCTCCGGGGGGCAGCTCGGTCCCTGCCCCATTCCGGGGGCACATCGGTGCCGTGTCCCCCTCCCCATGCTCCGGTGGTGCCGTGTCCCCTCCGCACTCCCCAGGCAGCATTTTGCAGCAGCCGGGGGAGGTGACGGGTGCCATTCCCCAGCTCTGTGTCACCCGCAGTAATAACACCCTGTGCTCCCTTTCATCTCGGGGCCTCCAAGGTGGCCCTCTCCAGGGCGAGGGCGTCCCGGCGTCATCACTTATCATTAATTCCAGGAGGCAGCCGGGGACGTGGCGGGGTCTGGGGGTCCCGGCCAGTGACACGGGGACCCAGGGCTGAGAGCAGAGCCATGACACCCCTCGTGCTGGGCAGTGAACACGGGTGCTCACCATGCAGCCGCGCTGCCTGCGATGCCAAATGTGGCCTCGCTGTGGCCACTCGGGGCCGTGGCGGCCGTTGCCAAAGTGGCCTCGCGGTGGCCACCCGGGGCCGTGGAGGCAGCCGGTGGCACAGCCCTGACGGGTGAGGGGTCCGGGGGGGGGGAAAAAACGAGCGGGGCTGGACGTGGATGCGAGCGACTGGAGGTGTCCGGGAGCCGTGTTTGCCAAGGGAGGCCTCGGACACGGCCGAGGAGAAGGGTTCCACCTCCTAAACCCACAGCGGGCGCGGAGAGGTGGGCACGTGCGTGGGGACGGCGGCACGTGCAAGGGGACAGCAGCGCGTGTGCGTGGGACGGTGGGCATTTGCATGGAGACGGTGACGTGTGTGTACGGGGATGGCAGGCAAATGCACGGGGCCGGCTGGCATCTGCAACGGGGACAGCTCGTGTCTGCAATGGAGGTGGCTGGTGTGTGTGCATGGGGCAGCCCAGGCGCGCACAGAGACGGCCGGTGCACGCACGGGACGGCGGGTACATGCACGGGGACAGCTGCCGTGGGCACAGGGACAGCCAGGATGTGCACGGGGACAGCCTGGGACATGGCTGGCGTGTGCACGGTGGTAACGCCGGGACGGCTGCCGCGGGAGCGGGGCAGCAGGAATGCCCCCGCCCTGGCGGGGAGCGTTGCTGCTCCCCTGGGGCGACGCTGGGTGACGTTGGTGGCTCTGGGAGAAGGGCTTGGTCCCTCCTGCTTGCTCAGGGAGGTGGCACACACCCGGCATAATGGCGGGTGGGACGGAGCCGGTCCCACGCGGGTCAGGGAGTCCCCGAGGTCTCTCTTCACCTCCAGGTTGGGCTTTCACCCCCTGCCCCGCTCCCCCAGCTCCTCCAGCCCTTTCCCTCCAACTCCCCCACTGAGCAGCCCACGACGGGCGCTCGGGGCTGCAAAAAGCCCCCAGTGCCCCGGGGGGCTCC